CTCCAAATTCATCCCAAACTTAAAGATAAATTAGTAAAATATCTCTTGATTTATAAAATTTTAAGATCCCATAATTTTATTTTTGAATTACCTTTAAAATACTATAATTCGATTCTAAAATACCTCTAAATTCTTATATCCTATGTATAAATTATTCATAAAATAAATAATTATCTTAAAGCGAAGAAAATTAAAAAATTCCTATCTCTAATGAGAAATGAATGTCCTACACTAAATCTGCTGAGGGGAATTATGGGGCAAGGTATCGTGACTTCGGGGCGGGGACGGGGAGTGGGTGCCCCGCCCCGTTGCCATTCCTAATGGGATGAGCTCATGAGCATGAACTCCACATCCATGTGGGCCAGCCATATGGGCCCAAACTACAGCCGACTAATCCTGGACCTGGAGCCAGAGGTCAAATGCATAGTGACTCCAATCTGTTACAGCATTGTATAGATTTGACCAAGAGACGAGAGCGGAAGGAAAAAAAAATGGGACCGCTCGCTTTGTTCTATTTCTCTATTTAAAAGCCCCGTCCAGCTCTGCCCCCAATCAAGGATTCCGGATGTTCTTCTTCTAGAGTCTAGTCTAAAATTTCTGATTCTCCTTTTCTTTCCCCGAGTCCCAGCGAAAATGCCTCCACGGCAAACTCTCCATCTTCACCTCTTTCTCCTAGCCTTGCTCTCCCTCAGCCTCCTCTTCTCCCGAACCAGATCAGCGATTATCGAAACTAAATCACCTTCAGATATCTGTCCTTCATACGTCTGCGGCGGCGTTCACATTAAATACCCTTTCTGGTATAACGGCAGTTCGACTCCAAATCCACACTGTGGCTACCCGAGCTTCGGCCTCTCCTGCTCAGATGACAACAAAACCACACTCAAGGTGCCCACGGATACCTACAACGTCACCGGCATCAATTATGAAACAAAGACCCTCTCCCTGATCGACGCCGACGTACTTACCGGCAATGCAATATGTCCAAGGGCAAAGCATAATATCACCCTCACCAGCTTACCTCAATTACGCTCCAGTGACTCCACTAAAAACCTGACGTTTTTCTTTGATTGCTCCACCCACTTTTTTCTTTATCTCAGTTCTGACTACCCTTCAGTTCTAGTCTCAACTAAATACACGAATTTATCCTGCCTTGCATCCGGCGGGAACCAGACCTTGGTTTTCGAGACAGACAAGATTCCGGAGGGGCTTGATTGGCATAGGGACTGCGAGGCAAAAGTGGTTACCACGGT